CTCGAGTGGCTCTCCATCCACTCCACTCCCCTCTGGAATTCGCAGGAGACGGGCGTGCTTGCGCAGGGGCCCAGCTTGTCCTTGTGGGGGCATTCAGCCCAGGATGCGAGCCCCTGTCTGGGTAGGTCTGGGCAGATTAATGGGTGGATGACTGGAGAAAGCCACAGACAGCGGCTTCCCTGTGGTTTGAGTATCGCCTGTGGTCTCCACGGTGGCTGGGCCCTGCGCGGCGGGAGGAGGCTTCGAGGTTGTGTGCTTGGGAGGATCAACCTGTGTCACCGAGCTGCCCTGCGTGTCTGTGGCAGTGGGATCCCCACGTTGTCTACCCAATGGCCTGTCCAAGTCTGGTGCCTTCCCTCCACGTCCACTCTCTGTCGTCAACCCTAACCCTTCTTTCATATTGGGTCCATACCCTCTTGATTTGGGTGCGGGACCCCACCTTGGGGTCACCGCCAGTGCACACATCCCAGGTTGGTATCTGCTGACTGTGCCCCAAGAACTGGCCTTTTGCTGTACAGGTATCACCCCCTTGGCCTGCACCTCCACCTTGGGGGCAGGGGGGTGGTGGCATTCCCGGGCAGAGTGCACTCAGGTGTTCTGGGGGTGTTTGTTGGACCCGTGCATCCAGGGGGAAAAAAAAAGGACTCCGGCGTGGGGGGGGGGGGCAGGAAAGAGAGCCTCACACAAGTCCCCCCTACTGTGCGCACAGCCTCCTGCTGGTCTTCAAATATATAAATAGGTCATTACTATTACGACCAATTTGCATATTACCTCTGTTATATAGAAGATTGATTTCAGAGAGGAAAGGAGAGGGAGATAAAAACATCAACGATGAGAAAGAATCATTAATTGGCTACCTCCTGCATGCCCCCTACTGGGGATGGAGCCTGCAACCCGGGCATGTGCCCTTGACCAGAATTGAACCTGGGACCCTCCAGTCCACAGATCAATGCTCTATTCATTGAGCCAAACTGGCTAGGGCGTTGAGGATTTTTAAAATTTTTTAATTAAAGAAAAATCAATGGAGCCCTAGCCAGTGTGGCTCAGTGGATAGAGTGGCCTATGGACTGAAGGATCCTAGGTTCGATTCTGATCAAGGGCACATGTCCAGGTTGCAGGCTAGATTCCCCAGTAGTGGGTGTGTAGGAGGCAGCCAATCAATGATTCTCATCATTGATATTTCTCTCTTCCTCCCTGAAATCAATAAAAAAATATTTTTTTTAAAAAGAAAATCAATGGAAAATATATTCTTGAGCAAGGATTTACAACAACAAAAGTAGAATTTTTTTTCAGTCACTCAGAAACTCCCTTTGTTTTCTTTGCTAATTGATAGGCTTATTGCCTTTATTTTACAAATGACTAAATCTTAGTAACTGCATTAAAATTGTAGGCAAATTCTATTGTGAAAAACTGTTACCAAACTTAGAATTTGTCGTTTAAAAAAAATATATATTGTTTTTTTACTGAGAGGAAGAGAGAGCTAGAAAGCCAGAAACATCAATGAGAGAGAATCATCGATTGGCTGTCTCTTGCACACACCCCACTGGGGATGTGCCCGCAACCAAATTGATGTGCCCGCAACCAAATGTGCCCTTGACTGGAATTGAACCTGGGACCTTTGAGTCCACAGACTGACGCTCTATCCACTGAGCCAAACCAGTTTGGCAGAATTTGTCATTTTTTAAAATGTTGAATCACATTTCTAAGAAAAAGCTGGGTACATGACAATGTCTAAATATTCTGTGCAAATAAAATATAATTGAGGATTAGTAGGTTTCTTTTCACATATTAAATAGCTCTCTAGATTGGTGGTATCTATCTGAGTGCTGTGTTAAAGAAGCATTTTATGTTCTTACTGATTTTTAAAGAGAGAGGAAGGGAGAGGGAGAGAAAAACATCCATGAAAAACATCTATAATATAAGCCGCCCTCTTGCATGCTCCCTAGTGAGAATTGAGCCTATAATCCAGGCTTATGCCCTGACCAGGAATCCAACCGGTGACCTCCTGATTCATGGGTCTATGCTCAACCATTGAGCCACACCTGCAGGGCAAAGAAGGATTCTTAATAAAGTCAGGGTCCTAGAAGTAAGGAGTACTAGATAGATTATAATGTAAACTAGAGGCCTGGTGTATGAAATTCATGCACTTGGGGGGTGAGGGGCGTCCCTTAGCCTGGTCTGTGCCCTCCTGCAGTCCAGGACCCCTTGGGGGATGTACCAGCATGCCAAGTTTCAGGTGGCCAGAGAGGAGCCCAAATTGGGGCCAGGCACTACTCGCACTCATCCCAACCTGCTGTGCTTGCTGTCGCAACGTCAGGAGAGGCTCTGGACACACTTGTAACTGTGCTGGCCAGCCACGAGACTGGCTTCTGGCTGAGCGGCACTCCCCCTCTGGGAGCACACTGATCACCAGGGGGCAGCTCCAGCGTTGAGCCTCTACCTCCTGGTGGTCAGTGCACATCATAGCAATCGGTAGTTCCATTTGTTCCGCTGTAATGGTCACTTAGGCTTTTACTATATAGGCTAGAGGCCAGGTCCATGAATTAGTGCACCAATGGGTTCCCTCAGTTTGGCCTGCGGGATTAGGCCAAAACCAGCTCTCTGACATCCCCTGAGGGTTTCCAGATTGTGAGAGGGCACAGGCTAGGCTGAGGGGCCCCACCAGTGCATGATTAGGGCCAGGGAGGGACACAGGAGGTTGGCTGGCCAGGGAGGGACCACTGGAGGGCTCCAGGACCTGTCCAGCCCAATTCGCTCAGTCCAAATCTGCTGGACTCCAGCAGCAAGCTAACCTATCAGTTGGAGCATCTGCCCTCTGGTGGTCACTGCACGTTATAGCGAGTGGTTGAGCAACCTTAGCATATCATTAGCATGTTATGTTTTGATTGGTTGAATGGCCGATCAGTCTACTGGACACTTAGCATATCAGACTTTTATTATATAAGACTAGAGGCCCAGTGCATGAAATTCGTGAATGGGGGTGTCCCTCAGCCCAGCCTGCACCTTCTCCAATCTGGGATCTCTTGAGGGATGTCCGACTGCCCGTTTAGGTGGTCAGACATCCCTCTCACAATGCAGGGCTGCTGGCTCACAACTGCTTGCCTGCCTGCCTTCCTAATTACCCCTAACTGCTTCTGCCTGCCAGCCAGATCTCCCCCTAACCACTCCCCTGCCAGCCTGATTGATGTCTAACTGCTCTCTTGGTCACCCTTAATTGCCCTCCCCTGCAGGCCTGATCGTTCCTAATTATCTGCCAATGCAGGCCTGGTCTTTCCCAACTGTCCTCCCCTACTGGCCATCTTGTGGCAGCCATCTTGTTCCACATGGGGGCAGAATCTTTGATCAAATGGGGGCAACTATCTTGTGTGTTGGTGATGGTCAATCTACATAATTACTCTTCTATTAGATAGGATAGAGCCTGGTGGGGGCCAGCTGGTTTGCCCTGAGGAGTCTCCCGGATCAGGGTGGTGGTTCCCTTGGGGAGTGGGGCAGCCTGTGGGAGGGGCCTGTGGTGATTTATAGGCTGGCCACACCCTCCAGTGACCCAAGCAGAGTCCCTGATATCTGGGATTTATTTACCTTCTACAATTGAAACTTGGTAGCTTGGAGCTGAGCCAAGCCTTCTGCTCGCTTAGTGGCTGCAGCCATTTCTGTTGGAATTTATTTATCTTCTATAATTGAAACTTAGTAGCCTTCAGCGGAGGCCTGGGCTGGCCAGGGTGTGCGGAAAGCTTGGCTTCCTCCACTGCCAGGAAACCCTGCTCTCTTGATGGCTGTAGCCTGGTAGGCTGTAGGCTGGTGGGTATAGTGGAGTGATGGTTAATTTGCATATTACTCTTTTTATTAAGTAGGATGTGCCTGGAGTGGTGAGTGGATGGGAGTTACCTCCTTTGCATCTTTTGCTTTTTTGGGGGGGGGGGGGATAAGTATTTTTTCTGTGACAGATGGTATTGTTGAGAATAATGAGTAGAGATTTATTCCATGACAAGATTTTTTCCCTTTTATTTTATATCCTTTTTCCTCATTACAATTTATCCTCCTTATGCCCTCTACCACTTCCACCCACTTCCTCCCAATCACCACATTATTGTCTGTGTCCACGAGTTCTTTCTCTTTTTGACTCAATCCTCTCCCCTGTCCCTTCCTCCAGCTGTCAGCCAGCTCTCTGAGTTTGTCAGTATTATGACATAATTTTTATATAGAGTTATTTTTTAACTGAATCAGTACTTAACTAATATTGTAGTCCAACTATGGTGAAATAAAAGTAGTTTTATGCACAGAAACCTTTTTTGAAATGCTATTTGATATAATAAAATTATATGTGAAATAGAAATAAGCAGATTCTGGTATTGTAAATTAGCTCTAGTATCTTCAGGCCAGTTAGGCTTTTCTCATCTTTTAGGCCCTATTGCATTTAAGTCAAAATTCTGTGCCCAGGTAGTAAGCTCACTAGTTTCATGGGAAAAGGAAAAATTTATAATAGCATTGTGATAGGGCAGTAAAGTTTTTATTTTATGGCATTAGCCTTTTCTTCTGGAAATGAAATGCCAACCTATTTCATACTGTATAAATTATTACACAGTATAAGTTTTTTTCCTTTTTTATTGTTCATTTAAAGGATCTTCTGATTTAAAATGGTTTATAATCATTTGAACTATTCAATACATAAGATGCTAGAAATGATATTGATTAATAGTGTGGTAATGTGGCAGATGTTAACTCTTAATTGCAAAAAAATATGTTAATTTTCATTAGAGCTTGACTTAATACAGTAATCTTTCATTTAAATTCATTTTTGGCTTATTTTGACTAATGCTTTAGAAACCTGCTTCATTGGTGTAGCTTACTGTTTTTAAATAGTCTTGATCATTTTTTAAGGGGATAAAAAATAATAGAAGGAAAGGAAATTTGGGTGGAGTGTTATAAATTCAACCTAAAAATTCACTAAATGTCAATGAAGTGCTATTACCTGAAAATTGACTTTTTTTTCCCCCCTTTAGAATCCAGCAACTATCACAAGAATACTCCTTAGCCACTTCAATTGGGATAAAGAGAAGCTAATGGAAAGGTAAGGAACTATCATATCAGCTTTGAACTTAGAACTAACACACAAAATCTTTTGAACAGAATTTACAAGAAGCAAGTACGGAGTTGTATTTATATACCAGTGTGTGAACAAACCAATATGCAAGCAATATCTGGTTTAATCGCTTATATTCTCTATCCATAATTTTGCAATAAATTTAGTGTTTAAGAAAACTCGGGATTAATGTTTCTTATTTTATTTTGGAGGTGAAGGGAGCTCTGCTTCAGTATTTTCTCCATATATTTCTTTTTTTAGTACCAAGAAGTAAAAGTAGTTTTTCAAAATGTGTAAGATCTTTAAATTACTTAAAATTTTTTGTCCATAAACCTTTAAATCCTTGTTAGGCATATTAATGACATTCAGTAAAAAGAAAATAAAGAAGTTGTTCTTAATATCCCGGCCACCAAAATGGCTAATTGAACTGATTTTCTGGTTTCAATGTAAGATTGTATTCCATAGGAGATTTAAAAAAATATTTTCTCTCAGAAAGTGTTTCTAGTTCTAAAAGGGACTGGAGAATGACAATACTGATGCCATTCTCAATCCTTTTCTCTTCCTTAGATTGGACATTTGGAGCACTTATTCTCTCAGCCTTTATTCTCAGTATAAAATTAGCAATCCTAATTTTAATAAAAAATTACAACTAGTTATTGGAAACTGAGAACCCAAATATTGTGAAAAATAAATAAAAATATTTCCCCTTTGATTTGAAAATTGAAAGCACTTTTTAAAACCAAGAATATTACATGATTTCTCACACCTTATACCCAAATACAATTTAATAGTGACAATAATACCTGTCAATTATTGAACCCTCTGTGCCAAACATTATTTCATTTTATCATCTTGATAGTTTTGTGGGGCTAAAATCCTATTATATTTCATTGATGCAGAGACCAAGACTTAGAGTTTAATATATTTACTTCAGTTTTGTAACACAAGGAGTTAGCATTCAGATTCCGGTTTGTTGGACTCCTATGCTTATGTTCTTAAACACAAACTATACATCTTTCCCACAATTCATGAACAAAGAAATGCTCCTTGGCTAGCTTTTTCTTAATATTTTTCTGTTTCTTTTTGTTCCCCCATGCATCTCACCATCTTTTTTTTTTTTTTTTTTCACCATCTTTTTTGAAGTCAATGATATTTCTTAAATTGGTAACGGTAACATTTTTAGGCTTGTTTTATGGCATCTTTATTAGGAAAAGGAGTTTTCTTGTTTATATCGGATAGGCTTTTAGTGAGTTAGACTTATTTACAGTCTGTTTATTATTAATACATTTTTCCAAATAGTGTTTTTTTAAATCAATATGTACTGTTTTTGTCTCATGAGTATCCTGTTGTCTTATATTACCATTGTCACATTTTATTTTAAGACTAGAGGCCCGGTGCATGAAATTCATGCATGGGTGGGGTCCCTCTTGGTGGCCTGCAAGGATCAGACCGAAACCCCGCGGTGCCATGCCACCTGCAGCTCCTACCTGCTGTTCTGCTCATCCTGTCCACACTATGCCTGCTGCAGGCTCGCGCCCCATCAATCTGTTTCCTATACTTGTTAAAAGACTTCATTCTTTATCTCTTTTATTGTGTTCTTCATTGCCAGAATTTTTATTTGCTTCTTTTTTAAAGCTTCAGTTTGTTTGGGAAAGTATTTGTTTTGTTGATTTGTTGTCTGAGTTCATTAAACTGTGTATCTTTTCTTACACTTTGTTGGCTTTTTTCAGAACTGCAGTGTTGAATTCTCTGTCATTTAAATCACAAATTTCCATGTCTTTTAATTTTATTTTCTTGAGATTTTTTTATTTTGTTTCTGAGCTGCCTCATTATTTTGGTTATTCATAATATTCATGGATTCCTTCTCTATTTCTGTTGTAGATATATAAGAATGATTCCTATTGTTTCCAGAAGGTGGCACCAAATCACAAGTTTTTTAGCTCTCTTGCATACCTTTAGCTTTTCAGATCTCTGTGAGGTTGTAGAAAATGGCTGTGTTCCCTGGTAAGGCGGGTTGGTGCCTCCCCTATGATCCAGTTGTAGTGGTCCTGGGTGACCAACCCTAAAGGGATACACAGTGTGGATGGGGCTCCAAATCTATGAAATCAAAGTGCTATCTCCTGTAGCTAGATACTTCAGGCAGTGCAGCCTCAGTGTTTCAGTGTAGAGTGAACTGGGGGAACCCAGCTGCTTTTGTTTTGCCCTTCCAGTAATGGCAACCTCAGACCTCACAGCCTCTATCTCCACCCAACCTTCAGTTTAGTTGCAGACTTCCCTATCACTCAGGGAAGAAGTATTTCTGTAGTAACTGTTCTTTGGTTTGCAGGCAATGTGCTCTGCAGCACAATTCGAAGGGTGAAGGGAGTTAAGGGAAGGCAGCCAGGTTCTGTGGCTTTGTTTCTTTGTCTACAATGTCAATTGCCAGACAACCATGGCCACACCTGTGCTTCATCCCTGCCACTTCACTGGTCTCAGCTGCAGCTTATACTCTCCATTCCTGCAGCAACACTCACTAAATCTATTTGCTCCTCCTGGCCAAGGGGAGTGCCATTCAAAACACAGTTCATTTTCTCTCTCTGCTGAGCCCAACAGTGATCTGCAGGACTGCTTCCCTCACTCCTTTGATCTCTTCTCTCTTCTTGCTTCCCCTGTTCACTCCCACTTACCCACCTTTAGATGTTTCATTGCCCGGATCTCTTAAATGTGTTTGTGAGTTGAGCAGGGAATCCTTTGTTGAATTATAGCTGTTCAAATTGTTGAAACTTCAAAGGAGAGGCCAAGGGGATCTCTCATGCTGCTATTCCTCTGCATCACTCATTCTAATTCTTTTCAAAATACTTATCATCTTTGTGTTTCTACCCGAATCTGTGAAAATTCCTCAGGTCTGACTTTAATTCAATAACTTTTCTTTTTAACTTATCAGGAATTTTATTCTGATATGAACATACCATTTTACAGAAAATTTTAAACTACTGTTGAATTTTTTTTACTATTATTACTAATTTGCTTTTCTTTCTGTATCCATTTTCTTACTTAGCTATCTTGAATTTTTCAACACTATTCAACTTAATTAATTTTAATAATTTTATTATTGTTTTGTGGGGTTCTAGCTCTCTTATCTCTCAAGCATATCACTATTCTACACTGTTTTCTTTTAGACTATCAGTAAATAAAAAGAGAATTTAAACTATGTAATGGTATTTGGTACTCTTCAGAGTATATTTTTTTCAAAATAGAGGCCCAATGCATGAAATTTGTGCACAGGGGCGGAGGTTGGGGTGTCTTTCAATCTGGCCTGTGCCCTCTTGCATTCCTGGACCCCTCAGGGGATGTCTGACTGCTGGTTTAGGCTTGCTCCTTATCGATTGGCTTGCTGCTCCTTAGCACTGCTGTAGAGGCGGGAGAGGTTCCCACTACCACCCTGCTTGCCACCCGTGAGCCCAGCTACTGGCTGAGTGGTGCTCCTGCTATGGGAGCGCACTGACCACCAGGGAGCAGATCCTGTGTTGAGTATCTGTCCCCAGGTGGTTAGTGTGCATCATAGTGGCTGGTCATTCTGGTCCTTCTGCCATTTGGTTGCTGGGCTTTTATTATGTAGAATTGGTCACATTCTGACATTACCAAATGCTGATGAGGATGTGGAGCAATAGGAACTGGTTTTTATTGCTATTAGGGCATGCTGCATTGTACGGCCATTTTGCTTCCAATTTGGCAGTTTCTTAGTAAACTAAAAATACTTGTACCATACAATCCAGCAGGTCACCTTCTTGTTTTTTACCCAGATGAGTTAAAAACTTGCATCCACACAGATGATCATAGCAGCTTTATTTATAATTGCCAAAACTTGAACACAATCAGAATATCCTTCAGTAAGTGAATGGATAAATAAATTTAATACATCCAGACAATGGAATGCCCTAGCCAGGTGGCTCAGTTAGAGCATCATCCTGTACACCAAAGGATTATGAGTTCGATTTCTGGTCAGGACACATACCTAGGTTGCAGTTTCAATCCCTGGTCAGGTTGAATATGGGAGGCAACTGATCCATGTTTCTCTCTGACGCTCTCCATCTCCCCCTTCCTTCTCTCTAAAATCAACAAACATATCCTCAGGTGATAGCTGGTGATGGTGGAGATGACTCTGTGGAGCCAAAAGGATTTTTAGGGCAGTGAAACTATTCTGTATAAAATTGTTATGGTGGGCAAATGTCAGTATTCATTTGTCCAAAGCCATAGAATGTACAATACCAAAAGTAAACCCTAATGTAAATGATGGAATTTGGGTGACAATGATGTGTCAACATAATTCATTAATTGTATCAAATGTACTACTCTTTTGAGAGATATGGATAGTGGAGGAGGTTGTGTTCATGTAGGAGCCAGGGATATGTGTGAACACTCTATCCTCGGCTGCTGTTTTACTTGTAACTTAAAACTGTTCTTAAAAAATTGTCTGTTTTGTGAAATGGGGAAATCAATAAACTGTTTGAAATGTGAATGGCATTCTAGGGGGCAAGGGCACAAATAATATTTTAAATAATACATATCTATGGGTAGGAAAAATACTTCAATTATAAATGAATACTGTGTATTACTTTTATTAACACATTTGAAAGATTAGAAATGTAAATTACTTAAACTGCCCCCCATCCTCAAGAAGTAGAAAGATAATCATAGGGAAATGTAAAAAATATACTAAAATGTATATATCTCTCCTCCAAAAAGCACCAGATGATTTTAAAGGACAAGTTCTTTCTAAAAAAAACTTCAGGGTACTGTCAGTCCTATTGAAAGTTATTTCAAACTAGAAAAATGTGTAGTGCATTATTAATTCACTAGAGGCCCAGTGCACAAATTCATGCATGGGTGGTATCAGGCCGTTCGTCCACAATCAGGCCAGCTGGGGAGAGGGGCCGTGGACGGTCAGCTGGCCCCACCCCCAATCGGTGAGAGGGGGGCTGATCGGGGGAGGGGCTGCAGGCAGTTGG